ATACGCGATAATAAAATGGTTATTCGTATTTCTGATGTAGTATGAGCTCACTAAAATCGAAAACTATTGCATGACAAAATAATACTAATGACACGGACATACTATTATTACGAGAATCGTTACAAATCATTCATCAATCATACTAATAGCGAATTCGGTCACTTGCATTACACTAGATCAGTGTATACACTGCATACTAAAAGTATGCTTTGAAATTAGTAAAGTTAAATGTAAAAGTATATAAATATTTTTAACGATTAACTATCTACTAATGATATATTGTTATTTAACAAAATATATGTGTATCATTTCATCGTAAAAGTTGATTATATTGTATCACTGCAGATAGTTTATATAAAACTTGAGATAGTTTATATAAAACAGCTTTTAATATGCATTGATCCAGTGTGAGTGATCGAATTCACCATAATACTACAATACATCGACCTTTCTATGGAACCTCGTATAAATGATTTTCAAGATTTTATACAGAATTATCTGACGACCCAAGTGGTCCCGTCGACTTAGAAGGAAGAAAATCACGATTCGAAACTGCGGCGAAATAAAATGGCGGTCTAATGTATAATTATACAAAAAACGAATTACACGACAATAAAGTCGTGGTAAGACATCGGCGAGTATTACGCGAAAATGCGATACACTAAACGTGGCGATCGGCATGCAGCAATAAGATTATTCGTTATAAACAATAGATTTTTATACGGATCAGCCTTTCGGCTCGAATTTAACACGTGCGATTCACGCCCCGATTTGGGGATCGGCAGTCTTCCAATATTTTAATGCTTGTCTCACCGTCAGATACTCCTCAATTCTTCCGATTATCGGTAATTGCTCCGCTTTCTTTTTCTCAATAGGCATATGTAAATTTTATACATACACCAATTCTTATAGGATTTTAGGCTATTCTTGAAATAGTTGCGCATATAAATGGCAAGTTATGAATACTCGCAATGAAAAACTCCTAGAACAGTATTCTTGACAATCGTGCAATATTTGTGTGTACGATGCAATGAATGGATCGTATCGTTTTAAGGGAAATGTATACGTTTCACATTTTGATGAAAATCAAAAACGAATTTGAGACAAAGGTAAAAATAGATGGATTTAAACGATATTATAATAAATGCGCCGATTATGGATTATGCTGTAGAAAATGTGGAAATCCCAGAAAGAAGAAGACAATAAATATTATACTTGTCTCATTAATAATAAAATTTTATGACAACTATTTGTCAAAAAATTTGACAAAAAATTTGAAACATTTTTGTTACATTTGGATTTTCAGAAATTATATAATATATTGCATTTCCAATTTTAGAAAATATTTATTTCTAAGAATGAGAAAAATATATTAAAAATAACAAGTAATATTTTCCTGCTAATTTTAACCTACACATTAAACACAATAATAAATTTTTTGTTGGCATAAAAATGGTCTCATATATATGTGCTAACAAAAAATTATTAAAAAATTTTAATTAATAAAACATTTTTGTGTATACATACATTTTTTTCTTTAAGTTCTATTTTAATATAAAAAAATATGAAGTACTATCTTTTTGTACACATATGTCGTATTTTTGAATGATATTTATAGAAAGTATATTTTTCGACGTTGCCAAACGTAAATCAGCGCAACCGAAAACGTATACGTTTCAATTACTATTTATTAATGTTCAAGAATACATATTAGAAACGTATATAGATTTTTATCATTCGAACTGTGTGCACTCATAATATTGCGAATGAGTTCAAGAATAGACTTCCTGGACGTTTTCTTCTTACGAGAAGCAAGTCCATCTCATGGCGAACCATATATGAAAATGTAGATCTTGTTCAATTTCTGCAATCTGTTATCAGGTTATGTAGTAGACTCTGTTCACTCTGTCACCAATTTGCTGACATAGCATGTTATCAGGCTTTGTAATAAATATTTTTGACAGCCCTTTGCTGACATTGTCTGATAATTACAAATTCTGTGTTTTTGTTGCTTTTCAATTTGTTGCTTTTCTGCAATCAGACTCTGCTCAAAATCTGTCTCTTAAATTCAGATTTGTCTATCTGGGAGTCAAATAATGGGATGTACAAATTCACATTGAATTATTTAAGCATTAAAGGTCCAACTTCGACCGTTATGAGCTTTAATTCCTATTTTCTAATTGATTAAGATAAAATATTTATTTAATATTTTTGATTGAATATGAATCTTCATAAATACCTGAAATATTTTTTACGTGCAATTCATGTAAATAAGTTTCTAACCGACAATTGATTTTAGTGCAATCGATATAGTCTTAGAATCAGTAGTTTTGGCACTAGATCTGACTTTCATTAAGATTTAAAATCTATAAAATCTATTACAAAATATGTAAGCTGTATCATCATTATATAGCATCTATTTTTCACGGGCTGGATCAACTTTTCAAATGTATATTTTTAGGTCATCACATCACTTTTTATTTTTAATCACATAATCATATAAAAACTATAATTATAGATATTAAATAAATATATTATTAAATATGAAGCAAAATCGTATATCTATACAATATATAAATGATATAGATTCGTAAAACAACAATTTGTAATGTAAAAATCGATTCAATCGATCGATCAATTTATTCGTAACAAGTACAATACAAAAAAATTGTCAAAATCATAAAATTTAATATATCACTTTTATCTTTGCAACGACACAACTATTTTTTTATACACAGATGTGATTTTAACTCATTGAGTTGAAGATGTAAATAAAATAAAAATGATTCCAAATTGAAATTAAAAGATTATTTTAAATTACAATCTGCCGATAGTAAACGGAGATAATATTCTAACTTTTATTCTAAAATAACATAGGGGACAAAACTTTTTAGCTCACATTCATATATATTGTTATACATTCTCTATCTATTAGGATATGTACATAAACATTTTGTTTACAGACTTTTCACTTCGATGGATATGTCTTAGAAATATGGAATCAGTTTATATTTGCAGGTGCAAATCTATCAATTGTTACATCTATAGTCAAATTCATTGCACAAAAATTAAAGAAACATAATTTAGATATTATTTTAGCAGTACCACCATCCAGAGGGTACGTGATACTTTTCGAAATGCATATAATATTATATATTACATAAATTTAATCTTTTTTATTCTTATTCGTATTTTCTTTTAGTGCACAAGTTAAATTATTTTCAAAGCAAGAGTTTGATGAATTAGCGTCATATGTAAACGCCTTTTCGCTTATGACCTATGATTATTCGAATATTCAAAGACCAGGTCCAAATAGTCCTTTCGATTGGACCAGACAATGTGTTGAACTTTTAGCTCCAGAGAAAAATAATCATAGACGATCTCAAATTTTATTAGGTATTAATTTCTATGGTTACAATTATACACCTGAGGGTGGCAGGGCAATTCTCGCCTCTGAATATTTGAATATATTAAAGTCATTTAAAGGAAAAATTCAATGGGATAACAGCAGCAAAGAGCATTTCTTTGAACCGAAGTAATATATTTTATTATTGTAACCTATCTGTTCTTTCTATTTCTTTTTTCCATTCTTTCTGTCTCTCAATTCCTTTCCTTTATTTATACCTGTGCTTTTTTTTTCTTCTTTCTATCTGTTCTTATTTTAAGTTTCTTTGTCTTGATTCTCTCAATCCCTTTCCTACTTACTTTTCTTTTTCTTTTCTTATCTATTGCTTTCACATCTTTTCTACTTTTTTTACTCTTTTTTTTTAAATCTCTTTTCATCTTATTTTTCTCTTCCTTTTTTTCTCTTTCACTTTCTTATCCTTTTTTTCTCTTTTTCTTTCTTATCTTATTTGTAATTGATATGAAAAATATTTAAAAAATTGTTTTTTTTTTAATATTATGTTTACAAATTGATGCATTTATTTTAGATTAGCTACAGGTAATGGTTATGTTTTCTACCCTACGTTATATTCAATTAAGGTTCGATTAGAACTTGCTAATGAATTGGGTACAGGAATTTCGATTTGGGAATTAGGCCAGGGATTGAATTATTTTTATGACTTACTATAAATTGTTACATAATTTTCTATTTTATGTAATAAAAATTTTGTAATACTTACATATAAGATGCATGTATAAGAGATAACAAAAAAATATATTTCACAAGCATATATAAAATTTATGTAGTAAAAAATTATAATATATTTATCCTGTCTACAATTTTAATGTACATGTATATCTTCATAATTCATTGTACTATTATTATCATTATATGTATTATTTGATTTACGACCTTTGAATGTCATCATGATCTGTGGTCCTTTCAAAATGTGATACATTAATGCCCAGCTTATCTTCATTGGTAATAAGCTATAATAAATAATAATATAAATAACTTTCACATATATATGTATATACATCTTATGCAAGGTGAAGAAAAAATATGGAAACTCTGAAAAATCTCAAAAAATATAAGTTTTACAGAAAAGTGTTTCAAATAAAAGTTGTAGGATTTAAAAAGATCTATTCAAGTCTCATTAATTTGATCCTGATGTCGTTGAGGTCAAGTCAAAATCATCTTGAATTTTTTAAATGGAATACCCTATTTTTTTATTGCATATTCTTCTCGTACCTTTTCAAAGTACTATAATTTTATTCATTTTAGGTCAGCCGTTCAAAGTTATTGAGCATTTTACAGCAAGAAGTAATAGACACCCGAAGACAAGGTCGGAATGATCCAGCCAACTAAGGCAAGATGATTTAGTTGGCGCAGCCAACTAAGCTCTTAGATCATCCTTCGATCTTTCTTTAGCTGAATTATATAATATTAATTCTCAGTTGTTTTCACTCTCAGTTGTTTTCACGGCTGCTCATTAGTAGTTGCTTTTAAAATGCTGCATCTTACTAAACGAATATTTCTTTTGCTGATGACAGGGAAGATAGACTAAGGTATATACAATGATACTAAGCAGCTTTTCAATGCAACATTTCAGAATGAAGATACAAGTATCTCGAAATCTATTCACAAAACTATCAGATGTTTCGAAGAAATTGGTGGTGTTACAAATCTTTTGTGGAGAATCTACATATTTCCACTCGCAGAACAGCTCAAAAACATCAAATAGATCAGAAGTCGGTGTGTAAAATATTAAAACAGAATAAGTTCCATCTATATAAAATTCTAGTGCAAGAGCTAAATGAAGATTTTGATCGACGTCTAGAGTTTTGTGAATTAATGATGGAAAAATAGATGCAGAACCTGATTTTGTTTACAACATTGTTTTTCAGACGAAGTAACGTTTTACGGTAATGTCAATCGACATAATTGTAGATTTTGGTTATTTCGGATATAAATCCTCATTGGGCACTGGAATTTCATATTCAATATCAGCAGAAAGTAAATGTTTAAGCAGCATCTTAAATATAATAATACTTTGATAGGTCCTTTGTTGAAGGGAATTTAAATGCAATATACGAGGAGAAATGCAATATATGTTGAGAAATCAAATAGTTCCTGCGATAAGGGTCATAGTTGATGAAAATATTGAGAACACTTGGTTTCAATGTTGCTGCGCCACATTATGGAAGAAATGTCCATTACTATTTAAACGAAGTCTTCGTTGAACGATGATTAGGGAGGAGAGGTTCAATTGAGTTGAGGCCAGTTCAATTGCCAGACCTCTCACCTCTCGATTATTTTCTATGGGGCTGAAAAGTAAAGTAAAATTTATATGACGAAAGTAAAGTTTATACGACAAAACCACAAAATGTACATGATTTATGTCGAATCCTTGATGAAGTTGCGTTCATTCCCAGGAATTACATCAGGAACGCTGTTTCAGGATTTTACAATCGGATAGCACACTGTCAAACTGTGAATGGTAAATATTTTGAAAATTTATTATAAATTTTTATTATCAATTTAAAGAGAATTTAAATAGATCATTCTCCGACCTTGCCTTAATTGGCTGGATCATTTTCCGACCTTGCCTTAGTTGATTGGCTCATTCTCCGACCTTAGTTGGCTGGATCGTCCTCCGATTTTGCCTTAGTTGAACGGATCAGCCTTCGATCTTGCCTTAATTGGCTGGATCATATTCCGACCTTGTCTTTGGGTGTCTATTACTTCTTACTGTAAAATATTCAATAACTTTGAAATGGCTGACACAAAATGAATAAAATTGTGCTTTGAAAAGATATTGAGAAGGATTATAAGAATATGCAATAAAAAATAAGGTGTTCCAATTAAAAAATTCAAGCTGACTTTGACTTGATCTCAACAACGTCAGCCAGCGTTAAACTGATGAGACTATTGAATAGACCTTTTTAAATCCTACAATTTTTATTTAAAACATTTTTCTATAAAACTTATTTTTTTGAGATTTTTCAGGGTTTCCATACTTTTTCCTCATCCTGTATACA